TGGCTCCGGCTTTAAGCAGGTCTAGAAGACAGGTCTGATCTTTCCTGTCTCACACACGCAGACCAAGGGGGCTAGTAGTGACGCGGAGGGACCCTAATTGATGATGATGAGGCCTGATTGCGCACTTGGCGATGCCTCGTCGTCATCAGGCTATTGCTTCCGCATCGCATCATCAGGAGAAGAGGGTGCCAGCTTGCCAGCGAGCAAAACAGTCGTGGGTTGCCCAGGACGAGGCAGCAGGGTCGCAGCAGTGTCCGTGGAGCACAAACGGCCACGGGAGTAGAGCACCAGCTCCACTGCAGCCTACCACTCGACGGCCAGTAGTGGTGCCGGTGTGCACGGAGTGAAGTAGCAGTCAGCCAGTGAGGATAGAGGGGGCAAAGTTTCCTACTCAGCGGTTATTTGTGCAATTTTTCGTCAAAGCCTCCCTTTAAATATCGAAGTAAAGTAGCCGTGCCTATGTCGACTATGTGGGCCAGAAAGTCACAGCGTGGCCAGGGGGCCAATGTTGGGAACTACAGCGTTGCGTTCAGCAATATGCAGCGTCGCCATTCGGTGGCCTGGGGAAAACCTATGTGATAAAGATACGGCGGTTCTGCCTGCCCCAGCCCGCCGGCTCCATCACCCGCTATCCGTTACTTGCTCCGTCATCACCGACGTCAATCCACCCTCTATCAGCCAGTGCAAGGCTCCAAAACCTCTGCTGTGAGGGGAGTTGTCGCTCGTTGGCATCTTCTGCTCGTTCAGCTACATGCTCCTTCTCCTGCTACTCCTCTTCACGGATTCCGTCCAGCAGTCTTTCTTGGAATCCGTTTCCAAAGAGACAACAGTTTGTGAGCACGCACCCGACGGATGCAGGTAAGTGAACGTTCCTCCTGTCAAGTTTTGCTGGTGCTGCAGTCCCTCACCTTTCCAAGTGTGGGACTCAGCACCTTTCCGAGAAAATGATGGCTTGTGCTGAGCCGCGGTGGAGAGGGGGGGGGGGGTGCCATGCCGGCATTTCTTCGACAAAAAGGCAGTGCCAGCCTTGCATTCACATGTAGAAGAGAATGGTGGGCCAGTCTTGACATGTCGCTCTCTGCCAAAGTGCACGCGCAGCGCGCTCGTTGTGTGGAGCATGGTGTACACTACGGTTCAGGGACAGTACATGTCATTTATGGCCCACTGGGTGAACGTGCTGGTGCCCGGCACAGCGCCGCACCAGCAACTTGGACAGGTCACGCCGCTCTTTGCACTCCACGTTTGCCATGTCCTTGGTCGAGCAAAGATGTCCGCCTCTACCAACCTCTTCTTGCCCCCGCCGTGTCCATCTCAGTCCGCCAACCCCGTGCCAAGTCCCATTACCCAACCGCGGCATATCACTATGTGCAGGGCGCAACGGTGTCACGCTGTGCTGCAACCTGTATATGCCTTTGGCGAACGTAGTCACACAGGGGAGGAACTTCTGAGTGTAAATGAACAGAGAAATCGACAGATGGCTGTCTCCAGCGCAAACTGAAAATCGGAACATTGTTGACCGACAACTGGCATAAGAAACATGGTTGTCTGCTCTGCGTCAAGGAAGGTTGTGCCATGTGCCATGCATGGGCTCACGTGTTCAATCTGGTTGTCAAGCGGTTCCTAAAATTCCACCATTCACCACTGCAAGGACATCCTTATAAAATGTCACGTAAACTTTGCATGCATCTTCAGCCAATTCCTACACCGCAAAGCACAAACCCTCCTTGAGCGCTGCAGCGGCAGCGCAAGAACGGAATTCCACAGCATCGCCTGATCTGCGACGTTTGCAAACAAGGTGGAATTCAACCCTACATATGTGTTAGAAGCGCCTTTACGAACAGCGAAAAGTCCGACCCAGTCACGCGATTTCGCTGATGTTACAAGCGGATATAAAGGTACTTCCCTGTGTGTAATTATGTAGATGTCAGCCATGTGGCAAGCTCAATGCGTTGTGTCTTCCCCCCCCCCCTCGCCCCGCTTGCTCGTAGGTCCATTTGAGAGTTTGGTGTGCCAGCGCTATTCGTGAGTCGGCAGTGTGTTCCTATGGGGATGATGAAGTCGATGTCATTCCTCTGTGTTCAGTTGTGATTGTCTGGAACAAATGCTGTTAAACAATGGCTGGTCAGGGCGGCCGGTAGACGTGGCGCATCAGATCTCAACGCCACATGACCCTGTGGGGCAGGACAGGAAGAAGAGGAGGAGTAGAGCGAGATACATTGCTGCTCAGGAAATTATTGAGTGAAAAGGGTGGTTTTTCCACTCAGCGGAAAGGAGTGGAGGAGCAGGAGCAGATCATCAGGTAGAGGAGGAGGAGGAGGAGACAGAGGACCCAGTCGCACCGTGGCAGTATGCTGTGGAAAGATGAGTGCCCAGCACAGGAGTCCCATTCGCATTCCTTGGCACAAATGGCCCATAGTCAGATGCGTCGGTTGCTTGCGCTAGACGACAGCCCGAATAATAACCATCAGACACAAGGGATGACTTTTGGGCTGTCCACCTGTTGTTGGACCCCTCGCTACCGTTCAAAAATGGTGGCCTTTTTCACACCTGCTGAGAGGGAGGCCAAAATAAAGTACTATAAATGAACCACTGTGTTGTAGTCAGTTAGTCTCTGCCACTATTGTGCGCCAACGTCCATCCTCAGACACGTGTGGGCCCTGTGCGCAGCGTCGACCTAGCGGCGTTTTCCTGCTGCCATTGCAGCAGGGTAGGGGTGGGGTGGTAGGAGCAGTGCAGCTCCACAGCAGCGGCGCTGCCTCAGTCTGCAGTCGATGAATGAGTAAGCTTTCATCTTCACCAGCGCAGTGAGGAAACTACCTAACCAGCCTTTCGCAGCAGCCTAGCGAAGCATCAGGTGGCACCTGGAGCAGGACCTCAAACAACAGGCTTGGGTCCTAACTTTGGACAGGCACCCTTGACAAAACCTGCACCGGTACGCAGAGGTCTCACCACAATCTGGCCCACTGACTCTGGGCAACGAAACTTGACCCTTGGCCCCAACTAGCTGCATTTGCCCTTGAAAGGCTGTCATGCCGAGGCCAGTAGCGTCGGCATCGGTCGATAGCGCGTGTTTAGTGCGGCCAGGAGGTATTGTAACTCCGCGGAGGACACGACTCTCCCAACCCAAAGTGTGGAGAGACTCACACGTTTGTGAAAATGAATCAGGCGTGGATTAGTCTGGATTTCAAACCTCTCAGTTCCTGACACAACTGACTAAATCGCCATGATAATTTTTTTGAATCATGTGCCCCAAACATGTTATTTAGGGACAAATGGATAAAGACCTTCCACCTGATTCCGTACATTTGTATATATTAATATTTTATTGATGAGGCTAGCTGAGTCGGCCGACTCATGTTTTTGCACATTTTATAATGACTTATACTCTGCAGGTTCTCGAAGGCCCTCATGAATTGGGGTTTTTATAAATTATTTTATACTTCGCTGGACGACCGTCACATGTTATTAATATTTTTTTTGATTTAATTGGTTGCCTATTTTTATAATGACTTATACTCGTGCTGGTCGGGCCCCTCATGGAATTGGTGTTTTTAAATTATTTTATACGTCGCTGGACGACTGTACACTAGTGAATTTTAAACTTTTTTAAATTATTTATAGTTCGATTACGCAGTTCCATGACCGATGGAATAGCAATTTTTTTAAATAGTTTATTTTGACACGTGTGGTGTCCATCTCATCAATGAAGGTGGAATGTTTATTTATTGGCCACTGGTTTGGCCCTCTCCCCAATAGACTCCCCGCTCCTGTTTCTTACATTGTTAATTGTTGTATCGGCGTCACGGTTTGCGGCCACATGTTTGGTTGTCTTGTTAAGGATTTTTCTGTAATGTACACAGTTACGCTTGACTTGTCGACTTTCGCCACAATCTACTAAGGTATCAGCATCGCATCAAAGTTTTTTTTTTTTTTTTTTTGTCTAAACCATTTCTTATAATGTCAATTTGTAGGATACGCGCGCTGTAAGGCGACTATCTTTTTGTCACTGTGTAGACATCTATTTATAGGCCGTGTTGTTTTGGCCAGAAAGATATATTTAGTAATAACCTAGCCGAATCAAGCCGCTCACTGAACACCTCGGGAATTTGCTTTGTTATATCTGTCGCCTTAGGGGCCGCTGTCTGGCGACATAATTTTTTGTCACTGTGTAGACATCTATTTATAGGCCGATGTTTGGCCACGCAAATATATATTTAGTAATAACTAGCCGTTCAGGCCGCTCCCTGAAAACCTCGGGAAATTTGCTTTGTATATCTGTCCGCCTTAGAGGCCGCTGTCTGAACAGCTCATGAATTGCTTTCTATATGTGTCGCCTTTGAGGCCGCTGGCTGGACAGCTGATGAATTGATTTGTATATATGTACTTATTGTCCGCTGCTGTCCGGACAGCTCATGAATTACTTTTTGTATATAGCCTTCCAAACCACTCTCAGAATAAGTCATGATATTTCATGCTGTGTATAGCTTATAGGCCAATGGTCAATCAAGTCATGATTGTTTATAGTGTGTATAGCCTTATAGGCCGCTGTCTTTACAACTTTATAATTCCATGCAGTATATAGCCCTATCGGGCTACTTTCTGGCATCCAGTTGCTGTAGCCCCCCATCACCACACTGTGCCACGGCCCCTGTACCGCCTTCTCATACTGCTGCCAGATCCATCCTCTGCCATGTGCGTCTTTGTCGTCTGCTCACGCTGCTGGGTTCCAGTTTTAAACCTAGGCCTGTGTATGGCTTCCGGAATACTGCTGCCTCCACCGCCACCCTGCGCCATGTGCCTCTGTCGTCTGCTCACGCTGCTGACTGGCTTCCGCTTTTTAACCTAGGCCTGTGTATGGCTTCCGAATTACTGCTGCCTCCACCGCCACCCTGCGCCATGTGCCTCTGTCGTCTGCTCACACGCTGCTGACGACTTCCGCTTTTTAAACTAGTCCTGTGTATGTCTTCCGAATACTGCTGCCTCCACCGCCACCCTGCGCCATGTGCCTCTTTCGGGTCTCCTCACACTGCTGCCAGGTCCATACTGATTCATGGCCCCTGTACCGGCTCCTCACATGAAACGTGGTTCAGCGGGTTTGCATCACTTAACGGCAAATCGTTGACAAATGCTGGGACGTTCAGTGTTGTGCGCATTAAGCCAGACACACCAAAGGGCAGCACAGACCTGTTATTACTCGCTCAAGCATGGCTGAACAAAACCAGTCTCTACCACAAATTGGACCCAGACCTGCCCAGGGTCTCGTAACTAGATTGCACGGAGGAGTAGAGTCCGTTATCGGAATTAAATAGACAAAACGCCACACCTAAAAAGAGTGGCCATTTCCAACACTTATTCCAGAAAGAGGAAACAACCCGTTTCATATACGGCCCGTAGACGTTTCACGTCTGCCACATTCAGTCGATTTAAGACGCAAGCTCCACTTCCTGTGGTCTCTGACCGTCGATATACCTTTAAGTGTCAGCTTTGAAGCTATATTCCCTCCGGAGCACTGACACTGGTGCCCTTCCGTCAACATGCCTTTAAGTTTCAGTTTTCAAACCATATTCCCCACAGAAGCCAAAATCTTGGGTATATCCAGAAGCTGCTCAGCGGGTCAGGGCAATAAAGCTCCCGGTTCGCAGGTTTGTTCCGTCTTATGGATGGAAGTACGACGGTATATGATCTTCTTCGCACCCACGGGGGCATTACCTCATAAAATTTCTGCATTGCATCTGCAATCACAACGCTGACTTCCCGGATCGCCACTCAGCCATTGGACTCTTGATAGTCGTCTCCCCACACTGCTGCTGGGGGGACTTTTTAACCTAGGCCTGTGTATGGCCTTCAATTGAAGCTGCTTCCGCTCCGCCACTCTGCCATTGGACTCTTGATAGTCGTCTCCCCACGCTGCTGCTGGGGGGACTTTTTAAACATAGGCCTCTGTATGGCCTTTAATTGAAGCTGCTTACGCTCCGCCACTCTGCCATGGGGCCTCTTGGGTATCCCAGAAGCTGCTCAGCGGGTCAGGGCAATAAAGCTCCCGAGTTCGCAGGTTGTTCCGTCTTTATGGATGGAAGTACGACGGTATATGATCTTCTTCGCACCCACGGCATCACCTCCTCATAGAATCTCTGCATTGCATCTGCAATCACAACGCTGACTTCCCGGATCGCCACTCAGCCATTGGACTCTTGATAGTCGTCTCCCCACACTGCTGCTGGGGGACTTTTTAACCTAGGCCTGTGTATGGCCTTCAATTGAAGCTGCTTCCGCTCCGCCACTCTGCCATTGGACTCTTGATAGTCGTCTCCCCACGCTGCTGCTGGGGGGACTTTTTAACCTAGGCCTGTGTATATGGCCTTCAATTGAATGCTGCTTCTGCTCCGCCACTCTGCCATTGGACTCTTGATAGTCGCCTCCCCACACTGCTGCTGCTGGGGGGACTTTTTAACATAGGCCTCTGTATGGCCTTCAATTTAAGCTGCTTACGCTTCGCCACTCTGCCATGGGCCCCTGTACCCGCCTCCTCTTGCTGCTCCTCTTCTGCCCAGGTCCAGAGTGTGTCATGGGTCCCCTGTACGGCCTCCCATTTGCTGCTGACTTCATCGCCAGACTCTGCCATGTGCCACTTTCAGGTCTCCTTACACTGTTGGTGGGTTCCATTTTGTGATAGGGTGCTGTATGGCCTTCCATTGCTGCTGCCTCCACCGCCACCCTGCGCCATGTGCCTCTGTCATCTGCTCACGCTGCTGACGGCTTCCGCTTTTTAACCGAGGCCTGTGTTTGGCTTCCGAATACTGCTGCATCCACCGCCACCCTGCGCCATGTGTCTCTGTCGTCTGCTCACGCTGCTGACGGCTTCCGCTTTTTAACCTAGGCCTGTGTATGGCTTCAGAATAATGCTGCCTACACCACCCCCACCCTGCGCCATGTGCCTCTTGTCGTCTGCTCACGCTGCTGCCAGGTCCATACTGATTCATAGCCCCCTGTACTGGCTCCTCATGAACGTGGTTCAGCGGGTTTGCATCACTTAACGGCAAATCGTTGACAAACGCTGGGACGTTCAGTGTTGTGCGCATTAAGCCAGACACCAAAGGGCAGCACAGACCTGTTATTACTCGCTCAAGCATGGCTGAACAAAACCATGTCTCTACCACAAATTGGACCAGACCTGCCCAGGGTCTCGTAAGTAGATTGCACGGAGGAGTAGAGTTCGTTATTGGAATTAACTGTGAGGGACTTTAAAACCTAGGCCTGTGTATGGCTTCAATTGAAGCTGCTTCTGCTCCGCCACTCTGGCCATTGGACTCTTGATAGTCGTCTCCCCACGCTGCTGCTGGGGGGACTTTTTAACATAGGCCTCTGTATGGCCTTCAATTTTAGCTGCTTACGCTCCGCCACTCTGCCATGGGCCCCTGTACCACCTCCTCATGCTGCTGCCAGGCCGGTAATCTGCCATGGGCCCCCGTACCGACTCCTCATGCTGCTGCCAGGCCCGTAATCTGTCATGGGCCCCTGTACCGCCTCCTCATGCTGCTGCCAGGTCCAGAGTGTGTCATGGGTCCCTGTACGGCCTCCCATTGCTGCTGTCTCCATCGCCACACTCTGCCATGTGCCACTTTCAGGTCTCCTCACACTGCTGGTGGTTTCTATTTTGTCATAGGGTGCTGTATGGCCTCCCATTGCTGCTGCCTCCACCGCCACACTGTGGCTCCACACTCTGGTTTTGGCCCCGTGACTGCCCAAATGAGTGAAGTGTTGCGGTGATTCTAAGATCGACGGCACTCATCTGCATGTCATACTGACTGACAGTATTATTTCTCTTCCCAGCAGACTCCAAGGGCATTTAAATTAAAGGTACAGTGTTCTGCACTAATATAAAGGCTCTCTGAAGCCTAGAAAAACACCCTTTTTATAAGTTAAATTCGCAGCGAATATATTCGGCTCGAAGCGAATTTATTCGGCGAATTCGGCGAATCAGCCGAACCGAATTTTTGAATAATTCGCTCCAATCATCTCTAGTGGTAATGTTCCACAAGCAGTGAAGCAATATGGTGACTTGGGATCACTACTGGATTGCTTTCAACACTTTCAAGTCTTGCGTTGGAAATGCGCCCCCTCCGACTTTCAACAGTCCTTTACAGTCTACAAAGGGTATCAAGTTTCTTTAGAGGACATTCTTTTGGAACATTCTTGTGATTTTGAAGGGATTCTAGTGTTTAGTGCATAAGTCTTTTGTTGGACACAATGGATGATAACATTTTTAGCCTGTGTGAGCTCATCCACTGTGTATGCCTTGCAAAAACAATGCCAACCTTTGCAATGTCTAGATCCTGTAGGTGTGGCTTTAAAAGATCTGGCAATGTGAATTAAGCAAGCTATAGCTCTGTATAGAGACTTCCAAGTGGAGAATCTATGAAAGCGCTTGGATCCCAACAATTTGTTAGAAACTGTTTGTGTGGAGTGCTGAGACCTGAGGGCGAATTTCTGCATCAGATTCAGGCTCCAACAGAACATATGTGCCCTTTTCAGTACATATGTGCTGGCACACCCCTTGTAGCATGATCTGCTGGATTATGATCAGTTGATACATAATGCCACCCGGGTAGGCTGTGTAGACTTCCTGATCCGAAGGACTCTGTTATGTACATAGACATAGAATCTCTTGCTCTATTGCTCTAATTGTAAATGTAACCCAGCACTACTTTGCTGTATGTATAAAACTCTGTGTCTTAAAGTTCTACATCTGCTTCAGACATAATCAGTTCTGTTAGCTCCACTGCTAGAACAGCAGCACAAAGTTCTAATCTTGGAATGGTGGTTTCCGGACATGGCGCTAGCTTGGTTTTACTCATTACAAATCCAAAATGGACTTGACCCTTGACGTCCACTGACTTAAGGTAAGCTTAAGATAGGCTACTGCGGCTATTGCTTTTACTGAAGCATCACAGAATACACACAGATTTCTAGATTGAACTTCTGCAGGGAAAATGTGAGCATATGGCCTATGTATGTGTAGGCTAAATAATGCCCCTTTAAAGAGTCTCTCCATGCTACCCATAATGTCTCTTTCTCTGGAGGAAGTGGAGAATCCCAATCACATGTGTCTGCAGCAAGATCTCTGAGCAGAATCTTACTTTGGACACAGTCACAGGTGCTGCAAACCCTAGTGGGTCATACAGACTGTTTATGGTAGACAAGACACCTCACTTTGTGAAAGGCTTTGGCTCCTGGTCGATCTGGGAGGTGAGGGTGTCAGACTTGAAATCCCAATTGAGTCCTAGGCTGCGCTACATGGGTAGCATCTGTTGCCAAGTCTAGGTCTTTCAAATCACTGGCGTGATCTTGAGAAGGGAAGGCCTCCATAACAGCCTTGCTGTTTGAAGCTATCTTATGCAACCTAAGGTTTGAACAGGCAAGTGTGCTTTGGGTCCTCTTAAGTAGACTGATTGCAGCCTCAGGCAATGGAAGTGACTTCAGGCCATCATCTACATAAACGTCTCTCTCAATGAACTGTCTAACATCTTGCTAGTAGGTCAGCTAGTTCCGGCAGCATACCACGACTTCCTAGACGTCTTCAGCAAACGTGGTGCAGACAGCCTTCCACCTCACAGGCCTTACGATTGCCCGATAGAGCTACTACCTGGAGCTGAGATCCCTTTCAGTCGGATCTTCCCACTATCTGAGCGTGAGTTGGAGGCACTAAAAAATTACATTGATGATAATCTCAAATTCTGGAGAGCCCTTTGTGAGCAATTGAGAGTGGGACTCTCGCTCTCTTCCGCCTATCACCCCCAGATGAACAGCCAGACAGAGAGAACCAATCAAACCTTGGAACAATATATTCGATATTTTACATCCTTCTCTCAGGATGACTGGGTATCACTTTTACCCTTGGCGTAATTCGCCTATATTAACTCAAGACACTCGGCCACAAGACAATCTCCCTTCTTTTCGAACTATGGATATCACCCTGCATCTATTTCCAATTCAATACCAGAATCAGCAATCCCAGCAGTCCAGGATATCTTTGAATTCCTACAGCGGAATAAACAAAATACTACAGGAAACAATCTCAAAGGCTCAGCTGGATACTAAGAAGTTCTTTGATAGAAAGAGGAGAGGAGAACTGATCCTGGAACCGGGACAAGAGGTATGGCTGTCAACAACCAATTTAAGATTAACCTGTCCCTCGAAGAAGCTAGGCCCAAAATTCGTGGGTCCTTTTCCCGTAAAGAGGAGAATCAATGATGTAGCATATGAGTTCATATTACCAGATTCCCTGAAGATTCATCCCATATTCCATGTGTCGCTACTCAAGATTGCACCCTCTAACCCCTTCCTAGGTCGGGAATCGGGGCCACCTGAACCAGTAATCGTCAACGGTGAAGAGGAATATGAAGTTGAAACCATTATTAATTGCAGGAAGAGGAGGAACCAACTTCAATACTTAATTAAATGGAAAGGGTATGGCCCTGAAGATAATTCTTGGGAGCCAGAGTCTAACATCCATGCCAAATAGTTTATCAAAGCATTTAAACGCAGGCATCCAGAAAAGATGGCCCTTAAGGAGGGGGCACTGTCAGGGATCCTGTCGCCATGCAGCGGTGCGAAGGTGATGTATCCCCTCGGGTCACGGTGGTGCGAGTGCACAGGCGCGGGAGCATGTGGCCGCGCATGCACAGTAGCGCAGAAAGCTTGTGCATGCGCAGTAAGCGCTCACGTCAGGCTATCATACTACCTGCCGCTGTACCCTCTGTTTTGCATCTGGCCTGCATCCAGATCACCGCCATACCTGTCAGCCACCGTATCCACGCACCGGTGCGCGGTCCCAAAACCCACACTCTGACTGCCGCCACACCTGCTTGCTGCTGCACCTACGCTCCTGCACTCACACCTGGCTTGTGTCTTGAAGGCTGTAAGGCAGTTTTTTGCACGATGCAATTAACACTTGGGCTGTATCTACTAGGCAAGGCCTGGCAAATCTCCTTCTTCCTTGGCTACTTGGAGCTCTGTCATCAGGCCGCTTAACTCTCTCAGCTTCTGGAAGCCTTTGTTAGGAATCTTGGGGAAGTCCTCTATTCTTTTGAAGAGTGAATTTTCTATGGCTTCTGGGGAACCGTAACACTCAATTCTCTCCAATATCATGCTCAGTCCTCTACTTGGAAAGTTAACATTGATATCTCTGATTCTTCTTGCATGTTCTGCTGACTCATTCCCCAGCCATTTGACTAAGAAATCGGTTTCCTCACTTGCAGATAGATCTAGATCTTTTATTGAATTTCTAAAGGACGATCGCCATGCTCTATAGCCTTCAGGTCGGTCATTAAACCTTGTGAGTCCTTTTGTCAACAGCTCACGGCGTGCAAAGAACTTGAGGAAATCCAACATACCTTCATCTTTGTGTGAGTAGTATGGAGGTGTTCTGTTGTGCGAAGGACTTGGGTATTTGTGGTCATCAGTAATGCTGTCGCTGTGATTTCTACCCCCACGAACCTTCCTTTCTGAAGTGGGCAACTGTATCATAGGGGTTTGATAGCTTAGATGCAGGTTTCACTGAAGGCTCACCCAGTATGGGATTATTTTCTATCTTGATGTAGGGTGTATGGACTGCAGGAGGCGACTCTGCTCTTGGAGCTGAATGCGAGCAATCATTTGTCTTGGCATGTTGCAGCACATAGTCTGTAGTATGCTGCAAATTGTCATGATGATCAGGTTTAATCTCAAGTATGT